GTGTACCGCACTTTTTCGATTTTCATAGTACTCTTTGTATTATTTCTTGGTGCTAACAGGAAAGAGGAAACGAGGACAGTCAACTTCAACTGTTGTCGTCCGCACAAAATTCTCCGTTCTACAGAGAATAGCACTTGAGGCATTGTACAAGGATACAAAGTACCCTGCGCATGGAGTCATAGAGGAATTTGCAAACTCGTATAATCTAGATTCAAGAACTGTGAGGATTTGGTTTAACAATAAAAGACAGCGGGGAGAAACTAGCGGGAACGCAGCAACATCAGTGGAATCAGATGACAGTGTCACAGAATCAAAAGAATTGATTTAATTTTTGTGAATCTTTTATCACTTAATACATTGTAAGTCTTAACGATTAATCAGTGACATTATTAAATAATCCGTGATATCTAGCATAAGATTATACATTTCCTTTAATTTAATTAATAGCAGTCAAGGTTGACTGCATGTCAGTTGTATTTTCTTCTTCCGGGGCAAGTGATTCTGATCTTGCAGGCCCAACTCTTATTTTCCTCAGAGCAACATTGGTGCCCTCCTCGAGCCGTTTGGGACATTATGGAAAACAAAACCCTCCTGGAACGCTGGCGGTAATCAGCGTTGCTTAGTCTGTAAATAAATAGATTAGCGCAAATGGTGGTGAAGGCGAGAAATACTATGTAATGGTGCAGGGCAGAATCTATTGTCGCTTTCCCCGCAGTTGCAAAGATAAAAAAAAAATTGGTTTGGAGAAAAACATATAAGCAATATACAAGTCAGAAGACCGATCATTCTAGTCATCTCTCCTCGTCACGCGTAGTTTGGCCTTGCTCGCAGCTGACGCAACAGGGGAGTTGTTTGCCGTCACGATCGTGTGTACGCACAGTCCAATCATGGAAAGGCACGGAAAGAACGTCTTCATGATAATATTGAGTACTGTTTGGGACGTGCAGAGGATAGAGCCTGAGAAAATGAATTTGACTGTACATATGTCATGGGAGGATGAATTTGGTTCATAGACCGAATCAAGTATGCCTTCTCCAGTCAAGAACGTCTGAACTCCTTAACAAACCCAAGCCATTCGAGAAGTTATCACAAGATGGAAGAGAGGTTTACAGAAAAATGAAGAGATGGCTGGAACAAGAAGATCCTATTGGTTATGTTAGGAGAAAGATTGTACAAGGTGCGACATTATTGCCCCTCTCGATACATTCATTAAAAGTTGGCCCAATTATTTCAAGTCGCTATCCGTCTCCTTCGTGGGCTTTGAAATGCCCAGACCTGCACTTATGTTTGCGATATGTCGCGTTTCCTCGAATAATAGCCGGGGGCGATTATTTCTTTTTTTACACCAAAAGGGGGCGATTACTGGAGTGAAGGCGATTATTCGATTGAGGCGATTATTTCAAATATTGCCCCAAATATTTTGTTATATTTTTCCAATAATCACATCAAATAAACTAATGTCCTCGGCGTCAGAACCTGAATCGTCACTGATCGGTTTTGCTGGATCACTTTAGCTTCATCCTACAGGTTTACCCCTATGTGTATCCCTAGCGATATAGGGGTAAGGGGAGGCGATTATTCGAAGGAGGCTGTTGATCGAGGGGCAGCAATTATTCGAGGCAATGCGGTATCATTATTTCAGAATTTTCTCTGATTCTAATTTATGTTTGGCTAGGATCTAAAAGTAATACCAAAAAAATCAGGTTTTGGACATTTTTCGACATCATAGAAGCTCTACTTGAACGCGTTGGCCCAATATATTCAACTTGGAATCCCTCTCCATCCTGGTCATCGAAAGCCGAAGATATTCATATGACTTTCGAGTTAATGGTATAGTAATTTTGATTAGAACTAAAGCATTAGAGTTGAGGGTTTCCTTTGATTCTAATCTGTTTTTACGGTCTTCTGGTGATGCTTAAAAATCCTACCATACCTCTTGTAAGGACATATACGTGTAGTATAATCTAAGTAAAGTTTGAAAGACTGATTTATGAATTCCTCGGATCATTATACGGTGCCTACCTACCCCTTCCTTTAGCCAACATTTTGCCTTAAGTGAGAAGTAAGTGTCAATGTTGGCTTAAGGGAGGGGTACGTGGGAAGTTCCCAGAAACGTATAGTGATCCAATTTTTCTTTAATCCAATGTCAGTATGTTCCGTGTACCGCACTTTTTCGATTTTCATAGTACTCTTTGTATTATTTCTTGGTGCTAACAGGAAAGAGGAAACGAGGACAGTCAACTTCAACTGTTGTCGTCCGCACAAAATTCTCCGTTCTACAGAGAATAGCACTTGAGGCATTGTACAAGGATACAAAGTACCCTGCGCATGGAGTCATAGAGGAATTTGCAAACTCGTATAATCTAGACTCAAGAACTGTGAGGATTTGGTTTAACAATAAAAGACAGCGGGGAGAAAATAGTGGGAACGCAGCAGCATCAGTGGAATCAGATGACAGTGTCACAGAATCAAAAGAATTGATTTAATTTTTGTGAATCTTTTATCACTTAATACATTGTAAGTCTTAACGATTAATCAGTGACATTATTAAATAATCCGTGATATCTAGCATAAGATTATACATTTCCTTTAATTTAATTAATAGCAGTCAAGGTTGACTGCATGTCAGTTGTATTTTCTTCTTCCGGGGCAAGTGATTCTGATCTTGCAGGCCCAACTCTTATTTTCCTCAGAGCAACATTGGTGCCCTCCTCGAGCCGTTTGGGACATTATGGAAAACAAAACCCTCCTGGAACGCTGGCGGTAATCAGCGTTGCTTAGTCTGTAAATAAATAGATTAGCGCAAATGGTGGTGAAGGCGAGAAATACTATGTAATGGTGCAGGGCAGAATCTATTGTCGCTTTCCCCGCAGTTGCAAAGATAAAAAAAAAATTGGTTTGGAGAAAAACATATAAGCAATATACAAGTCAGAAGACCGATCATTCTAGTCATCTCTCCTCGTCACGCGTAGTTTGGCCTTGCTCGCAGCTGACGCAACAGGGGAGTTGTTTGCCGTCACGATCGTGTGTACGCACAGTCCAATCATGGAAAGGCACGGAAAGAACGTCTTCATGATAATATTGAGTACTGTTTGGGACGTGCAGAGGATAGAGCCTGAGAAAATGAATTTGACTGTACATATGTCATGGGAGGATGAATTTGGTTCATAGACCGAATCAAGTATGCCTTCTCCAGTCAGAAGGAATGACCAGATCCAGCAGAAAATGAGGTACCCAGTGAGTCTCTTTCCCTTGATTATGATGCCATATTTAGAAGGCTTTACAACAGCAACCCACCGCTCTATTGTTAACAGCAATGTGATGTAAACGGTGAAAATAGGAGCTGAAAGAGAAAACTCGACTCCAGAATACACGACAGAGGATCGTACCTAGAACTTCATTACTTGGACGACGAATAAGGTCACCAAGCTCAAATCCTGGGCTTGTGAGTCAGCACATCAGATACGGCAAGGCAAAGAATGAAAACGTTGTAGGACTTTTTTAGTAGGTTTTTGTCACAGACAAACACTTGAATGGTCAACGTGTTTCCAAGGATTCCAAAGATGGAAAGAATACAGTTGGTAATCTGGGATTTGGTTAGTCCGCCTTCCATTGCATCCTTTGATCAGTGGAAGGTAGTCGACGTCACTGTATCATGCAGCGAACTCGAAGCGAACTGTTCATATAAGAAATCTTACTCTTTGAGTCCTCGTAGTGATTTTAGGCGAAGTCAGTATGTCACTGATTAGTTGTTTCTATGTTGTTAGTCTCACACCATGACGAAACCAACTTTTAAAGTAACAGGTAAAATAATTCATATTGTAAATGCTAAAAAGATGAATTGTGTAATTATCAAATACCTCTCCTCTCTGCTATTTATAATTTCGAAAAATCGTGAAAATATAATATAATGTATTTTGTTCAGATGTCAATAACTGACATCCTACACTATGGTATTATTTTTGTGTATGTGCAAGGTCAATTAATTCTCTGTACAGCGCTGCTGAACTAAATCTAAAAAATATTATTCGTCTTCAGGGGCCAAAAAGGGTTATCGATATAAATCTAATCTTATCTCATCTTATTATATTAGCTCAGTTACTGATGTTTAGTCAGCCAACGGACATTAAATCGAATTAAGTGTGCTTAGAGGGTGACAAGCGAAACCAGGTTGGGTTCCGGTCTTAATTCTGATAACTGTGGAGGGTGGTGCCTTTTGGGAAACGTTTTTAGACCAGAAAATAATGATTTTTCTCAAAGATATAATTGTAATCAACGATATAATCACTAAGTTAATTCTCCCGTGATACATAAAGAGGTTAGGAGCATTGAATCGAGCATATGGTTATAAAAATTGATTTGAATCCAAGATAATGCTTTTAGTTATTTCGTATTCATGGATCGTCGTATAATGTATGTGGTGTTCTTGATCTCCATCGTTGACACAATTGTTTTCATTTAAAAATAGAAAAACAGATCTACAAAACCAAAGCACTCATCGTGAAAAGAACTTTAAACATTACAGAAAAATTTACTTAATTCAATATTGATAAGATCAATTTCCTCTGACAACAAAGCAGGGATCAAAGGATACTTTTATGTAAATATTTTTACCTTTTCTGTTTTTGTGATCTCTTTTCGTAAGGATCACTTTGAAGCTGTTTTTAGTTATTTTTGTAGTGCCTTTTCAATCTTTTGTGTTTTCTCTTTCCGACAGGCACCATCCTCCACTGCAATTTTATGTTAAACAATGTACAGCACTTGTTTAACGGAAGACGTACTCAAGTGTGTGAGTTTATTTGCATGAGACTGATAGATATCTTTGCACTTGTTTCACCTTTAGTAGATAAACTAGGACACACGAAATTCCTATATTAATTTATATCAATTCATCATGTGACTTCAACTTCAACTCTATTTATTAAAAATGGTTTTTACAATAGACTGGCCCGTAAAATAGCAATTGCTAATCTAGACGGCCCAGTTAAAAGAAAAAACAATACGTGAAGGCATGGAAAATGTTTTAAGTTTTTTTAATTCTTATTTCTATCATAGTTTTATTATTATTATTATTATTATCATTATTATTGTTATTATTATTATTATTATTATTACTAAGGAAAACGAAAAAGAAATTGACGAAGAGTTTTAAAGCATATAATTTTATACAATATGAGATTACTTAACTGTTTATCCAACTTTTTAAATTATCAATGGTGTCTGAATATAGTCATTTTCTCTTTCCAAAGTTGTACTCCAAAACGAGAGAAGGACTTTTGCGTATTTCTAGCTTTGAACTTTTAACGTGAAAGGTACCAGAAGTAGATGATCGTGTATTGTATGAATGAATTGTTGAGGTTTTTTCAAATAAATTTAGGAGATTTGGTGGCGAATTGTTGTTGTTTATATCGTGTATTAGACTAGCTACAGACTTATAACACATAGACGTCACTGGTAATATATCAACGTCGATGAATAGAGGAATTGTGTGTTCGTATATCCATATAATGTATCATGCGAAGCACTTTCGTTTGGAGAATTACAATTTTATTAAGGGACGTCTTGGATGCCTGACCCCAGACAGCAAGACCTGAAAAGTAGACTTTCCAAGCAAGAGACCAAATATAAATCTGTACGTTGAATATTCGCGGAGTTATAATTTTTCGAAGATTCTAAGTTCGCTTGCAAAATGACCTGTACGCAACTTCTGTCAAAAACGCGAATTTCAATATCTCAAAAAATTGTGCTATTTAAAGATGGGATTTTAAATTCTTTAAGCAGTAGACCTATTTTCAAGGTAATTTTCGCTTATGCAATCGAATTGAGTTCAAACCATTTTTTTGTAAATTACAGTAATTCATGACATTTCTAAACAACTTGGACAGCGCGCGTGTATGAAGATAGCTATAACTAGTAATGTACTCTCAAAAAGGAGAAATTCTTGGAACAGACGTTTGCCCTACTGTTACATAAGTGATCAGGCTATTGTGCACGGATTTAATTGATCCTTTTAGTCAGTTGAGACTAATTCCACTTGACAAAAGGGAGTCTCCGATTGGGGTAGGTAAAGTACAGTACCTATGCTGGCTATACCTGGCAACACACTTTTATGGATTGATAGCCTCCTCAGCAATCAACAGTGCGTTGTAGTAGATGGTGAAAAATCCTCCTGCCTGCCTGTCTTATGAAGGGTCCCCCAAGGCTCTTCTATTGGACCTCCTTTTTTTTCCTTTTGTACTTTAATGACCTTTCTGAGTATGTTGAATCAACCGTTTACTTGTTCGCAAAGGATCCTGTCTCGTACTTAGCAATCAGCTTGAAAGATAGCTGTCTCCAACTGCATACCGATTTGAATGAGTTGGAGGAGTAGGAGCAAGACTGCTTCGTGCAGGAGAAAGGAACTGGAAGCCTTTATTAACTTCGTTGCAAACTTCCACTCGGCACTTCAATTCACTTTCATTGTTTCTGAAATAGAACTCCCTTTTTTGGACATCACCGTAGGCATTTCTGGTACTAGAGTTCAGATTTCTGTCCACTACAACGACACTGACACTCACAACTTCCTCCATTTTTCTTCTCTCCATCCTCAGTACTGCAAACGTTCTATCCCTTACCGTCAGTTTCTCCGCCTGCGTCGCATTTGCTCTAGCGATGGTGACTTCCTTCTGCGATCAAAGGAGGTGTTTTCTTTCTTTACTGACCGTGGTTATCCTCTTTCCTCACTTGAAAATGATCTACAGAGAGTAGCAACTATTAGCCGTCATGACGCGCTGCGCCCGTCCGAACAGAGTGATCACCGTTGATAGGGTGCCTCTGGTTCTCACATACCACCCGTTTAACACCAAAATCAAACAGTTCCTACTACAGAACTTTCGCATTCTATCAATGGATGAGTAAACTCGGTGTGTCTTTCCACAACCACCTTTTGTGGTTTACAAGCGCGACGTCAGTTTACGAAACATGTTGGTCCATTCCACGGATCACACTTCTTTTGAGCTGCCTGGTTCACGCGCGTGTCAGCGTCCTCGATGCAACACCTGCTGTCACATAAGTTCGGTCGCTGTGATACGAGGCCCCAAACTCTGCCTTTACCATCTATGACCATTTCACTTGTCAGTCCGAGAATCTTTTCTTTTGTATATCCTGCCGCCGATGCCCACTTCTTTACATTGGTGAGACCGGAAGAAACCCCATGAGTTGTTTCAGCGAACGTCTGCGAAGTATACGCTCCTAGGTTTCCTGTGGCTCAGCATTTCAACTCCACTGGCCACAGTATTTCTGATGTCCAGGTGCGTTGTATAGCGTTTTGCATTGGTAATATCATTTAACGAAAGCAACGTGAGATGCGGTTAATTTTCCAACTAGGCACCGTTCAGCCGAAAGGACTGAATATCAATTTCAGTTTTATTTGAATTGGGACATTATATGCATCATGCGCGTGCTTCGATCACTTCTGTGTCTATGATATTGCGTAGTACTGTACAACGGTTTTTTCTCACACTGAAGAAGAGTCACAAACCCGAAATATTTGTGTTTTTTGAAAAAATTAGACACTTTTTGATAATTCTTTACCGAATATCACCTTATAAGCTGTTTGAGATCCTACGTTCGTTTCTGCGCGTGCTTATTCCGATGACACGCACTTTTATATGTCACAGACCACCTGATACCTTGAGCGGACTCGAAGCTATGACAGCGCTGAAGAACTACATTCTTGATGTGCGTGCTTGGATGAGAAAGGATATGTTATGGTTAAATGATGAAATCATTATTATTAATGTTGTTGTTGTTGTTGTTGTTATTATTATTATTATTAAAGCCAATTTAGAATATTATTAAATTCTTATACTCTGTAAAACCTTATTATTATTATTATTATCATCATCATCATCATCATCATCATTATTAGTAGTAGTATCATCTCTTCTATCGCAGTCTTTGCTGGTGTTCTTTCTGTGCATAAGCCGGGCGCAAATCGTGCACCTGGAGCATCAGTCACTCAAGTCAATCATTCTGTTCAAACACTAAGGACCTCTCTGAGGATTCACGCAGATCCCAGCATGCAGATCGATCTTTTAAATCTCTGTCGCAGTAGCTCTCTCTGATACTTTCTTGATGTTTTCTATCATCCCCTTCTTTACTGTACCAAGCGCACCTAAAACCACACAGGGATCACTACGGTTGTCATTTGCCACATTCTCTGTATTTCTAGTTCTAGGTCTTTGTACTTGCTTTTCTTTTCGATTTCCTTCAGTGCAATGTTTCTATCTGATGGAACAGTCATATCAATCAGTTTGCAGGTTGAATTCACTGAATCTTTAACGATGATGTCTGGTCTGTTCGCTGTTCGTCGTTACCACCCGTCATCGATCTCGCCCCAGTTGTTCAAAACCTGGATAGCGCTATCCACCAGATAAATCACTAACCAGTGGATAAATATTGGGGGAGCCAATTGCGCTATCCAGTGGATAGAGATTTATCCGGTGGATAGCGCTATCCAGCTTTTGAACAACTGGAGCCAGGTCACACATACGGTCGGAGGAAAAGAACTGGACCTACTTTCTACACCCGGAATAATTTGTTTATCAAAGCAACTGACGTCACAATTATGAGAAATACCAGGGAGACATCGCTTAATCTTTCTCGGTAGGGTGACAAGATTTTAGAGGTAGTTATTAAACAGTGGTGTCCNACACCCGGAATAATTTGTTTATCAAAGCAACTGACGTCACAATTATGAGAAATACCAGGGAGACATCGCTTAATCTTTCTCGGTAGGGTGACAAGATTTTAGAGGTAGTTATTAAACAGTGGTGTCCGCCACCACCCATGCCCTGGTTGTTCGAGCGTTGGGTAGTGCTATCTAACGGATAAATTGCTTCCGACGGATAACTACTAGAAAACAATAACATTATGTTATATCCTGTTATATGAACCTACTAGTGAGACAATTGATTCTCACCAAGACTCCTATGTCCCCCTTGTGGCCAGTTGTTTTTTGACACAGTTTGTATCCTCAAGGAAAAGAAAACCACAAGTTCATTGACGTATTCACATATTCCTTACATTAAGGTTTATTATCTGTAGACTAGAATGTGATGAAGATTACAATGCCAATATTGATTCTCTACAGTATTAGTATTATTCGATAAAGCAAGTGATTTTCAAGTCTGTGATTGTAATAACGAGAATACTCTATATACTACGTCACAACTTTCACCAGCAACAAGTGACGACATACTGTTTACATAAATCAGTTAGCTTTCTTTATCCATTTACATTATCGCTGTACACGGCGGTGATATTTACAGTGTTCACAATCTCCTTTGTTCGATTTACAGGGTATTTATAGAGTCAAAACAGTCCCCTATTTCAATTTAAAGGGTTTAAAGGGGCAAATAGATTTTCTCCTTCTCCTACAGGGTAAAACCAATCTTCCCCTATTCAATTTAAAATTTTATTACCGGGTCAAATTAGTTGCCCGATTTCGATTTGCTTAGTATTTACACGGTCAAGAAAGTCTCTCTCTTCTGTGATTCACTTGTTATTTGCATTATTCTGGTAATGTTTAATTGAGTGCCTTAAATGCTATTTACATATGATCTTGACCTCTTAGTCTTCATATATTGGGTTATATATTCTACTTTTGCGTCCCTTAAACATTCACTGGCTTGGAATATACAAATTCTTTTAAATAACCAGCAATTAAGTTTAACTGTCAGTAATACTCTCTACGTTTATGGCAGGTGGTTCTGATCTGGCAGGTTCAACTCTCGCAGGGGTCAGAGCAGCATTGACATCCTCCGAGAACCGTTTGAAACATACGGAAAACAAAAGCTTCTTGTAGCGCTGGCGATAATTCGAGTTGCTGATTCCATAAATGAATGGATTAACGCAGATGGTGGTGAAGAGGAGAAATGCTGTTAAATGGTGGAGTAGAGAATCTACCTGTTCTTTCCCCGCAACCACAAAGGTATAAAAAAATTGGTTTGGAGAGAAACATACGAGTAAAATAAAGGTCATAATACCGACCATTCTTGTCATCTTTCCTCGTAGTTTGGCCTTGCTCGCCGCTGACGCAACTGGGGAGTTATTCGTGGCCACGATCATATGTACGTAGAGTCCAATCATAGAAAGAGACGGAAAGAACATCTTGAAGAACATAATGAATACAGATTTGGATGTGCGGAAGAAAGAGCCTGACGAAATGAATCTGAATACGCAGATGTCACTGGAGGAAGAATTTGGTTCATAGTTCGCATCAAGTAATCCCGTCCCATTGAGAATGAATGACCAGATCCAACAGATCACGATGTATCCAGCAAGTCTCTTTCCCTTGAAGGCCATGTGATATTTAGAAGGCTTTAAGACCGCAACCCACCGCTCTATTGTTAACAACAATGTGATATATACGGAAAAAAACACGAGTTGAAAGATAAAAACTCGGCTCCAGAAAACTCGACAGAAGATCTCACCCAGAACTCTATTGGTTGGACGAGGAATAAAGTCACCAAGCCCCATGACCGGGCTTGAGAGCAGGAGAATGGAGGTCAGCACATCTGCTATGGCAAGGCAAAGGATGAAAACGTTGTGGGACTTTCTCAACAGCTTTTTCTCACGGGCAAACACTAGAATGGTCAGCGTGTTGCCAAAGATTCCAAAGATGGAAAGAGTGCAGTTGGTAATCTGAGATGTGGTAAGTCCGCCTTCCATTGTCTACTTTGATCAGTGAAGTGTAGGTGACGTCATTGTGTCTGGTGAACAGACGATAAAAGAAATGTTACTGTAACTCTCTGTATTGATGTTAGGATAAGTTAGCCTGAAAAAAAGCCAACGTTTCGTGTCTCCATCAATGGTATGCCCTGGAAATGACGTAATGACGATTTTCAGCTCAACAAGGCGTTGCAACATTGCTGTGACATTGTTTCGAATAGTATTAACATTGTTCGAATGTTGTGACGCTGTGTTGCGTTAAAAATCGTCGTTGCGAATCGTCCCGTGTAACATCACCTTATGGAAAGAGCGCAGAAATTCCATACGGACGTCATTGCGGCACGACCAATTAGAAGTCCATATTAGATCTGGACAGTGTTACGTCATCAGTATGGAATTTCTGTGCTCGTTGCTTAGACGACTTTTGCGGGAAATTCAGTTGAGGCGTCGAAAAAAAACATATGCCCTGTTTTCGGTTAACAACATGACGATACTAACATATAAAACACGCCGTAAATTAATTCATATTCTTGTTTCAAAAAAATGGATTGTGATATGTCTAATGTCTCGAATTCAGTTTATAATATTTAATTGTGAAATTTGTAAAAATAATGTGATGTCTATTACGTCGTTGATTTCCTGTATTACATTCCATCAAGAAGTCTGTTTTGTAATCTTATGACCCAGAAACCCTTATAAGAATACTGTACCACCTTTCTAGTTTTTCTGCAAGATCATTTTATCGTATGTGAAGTACTGCTAAAGTAAACTGACAGAAACAATACTCGCCGTTTTCAGAAGCAAAAATCATTTTGAACTTGATAATGGCTGTGATGAGAGAATAATTTAATTAGGTCTATTGTACTGCGCATGTGTAAGTTGGTTTTAGGGACCTCGCAGTTGTCAAGTCGTAGCTTGAGTGTCAGAGCTGAGGATGTACACATAGGACTTTCTTCTTGTAGAAAAATAGTGTTAATGTTCCTGGTTCCTGTTGTCCGTGTGTAACGTCGTTGCGATAATGGGGACATAATGGCTCCGAAACGTCGTTCGTTTTTCTTAGCGTTCATTTTTGGTTATGTATTACTGCACCTCTGCTTAAAAATGGCGCAACTAAGCAAATTTTAAAAAGTGGACACATTTGCTTATCTTTAACCAGTCAACAGACATTGAATCGAAGTAATTGTACTTGTGCGTAGAGAGCAGGAAGCGAATATCAGATTGGGCCTGGATCTCTTTCAACTAACGTCAGTCTCATCACTCACTGTACTTGTCAACAACAGTCATACTCAGGATTACACTCACTTGGTCGATCAGAATCCACCTGCTTAGTTTGGATCATTGTATATTTAAATTAGGGGGAAATGTTAGCTTAAGGGAGGGGTAGGCGGGCAGTTTCCCCGAAACCTATGATGATCCCTTACTTTTTATATCATTTTACTAGTAACTGCTTTTGTTATGCCAATCATAATTTAAAGATAGTATTGATCCGTACTTAATAAGCAATAGTTGACCCTTGCTCATGTGCAAAAGGAAGATGATTAAAACACCAAAAGTCTTTATTTATTTTTCTTTTCCTTTGGCACTTTTTTCATCTTTTCTTTTTTTGTTTTTTTCATTAGGATCACTTTGCTGCTGTTTCCCCCCTTGTAGTTTAGTGTCCTCTCAGTTTGTATACTTTGTCATTTGGTGAGTGGCCCTTCCTCTGCATTAAATTAATTTTAAGTAAAGTGCAGTACGTGATAACTAAAGATGTAGCCACTTGTTTGGTGTTACAAAGGCGGGCACCGGTTCCGGATGCAAAAAAAGTAGGCCAAATACTAAACCTTTCTGTGATAATGAGTTTGTTTGTAAGAAAATAGAAAAAAAATATAATTTTTCGTGTTAGAGTTTACACTTTCCCTTTCAAAGTTGAACTAGGACACGAAACTTTTAAAGTTATGAAAAAGTGTTCAAATAAAATTAATATCATATCTTTGATATTATTATCATTACAAAATGTTATTAATATTATTAGAAACTTTTCCCGTTGAAGGCTTCTTTCGTGAACCGTAATTTCTCAACCACTTTAAAATCCTTTCAAAGTTTTTTCTCAAATAGCTCGTCGTTAGAAAGACCTTTTAAAAGAATTGATTCCTATTGTTGTTTATCTGAAGTATCTTCAGACGCACTAAATCTTTAGACCCGGCCCTATGTGAGCAGAATCAGAAGGGATATTTCGGTTTTTGGTCAAAAATACGATGAGCCACATATGATGAGCTTGTCTCATATTTAAACTGGACAAGCGATAACATAAAAGCCCTGTAAAATCATTGAAGTTTTGTAAAATAACGTACAACAGAATTAGGGTAGTGCGACACAATGCCCTGCACTACTTCTGGTTTTACACAAGCCATAAGGAAAATACTTTTTAACTTGTTTTTTTAAAAAAACCTGGTATTTCCTATTTTTACTGTTTAAAGAACCTCCCGTTAAATTTGAAGCCAATCGAGAAAATACGCCTCTAGTTGATGCTCTTTTAATCGATCTCATTTGATGTGTGGGCGATTCAGAAAAAATCGTTTAAAGATAAAGAAAAAAACGACCTAAAACAAAGCAAACAGTAAAAAAAAAACAAAAAACAAACCATTAGTTGAATTCTTACCTTAAAATCAAAGCGCACGAATGACTTCCTCACTTCCAAGACCTTAATACTAAATGTCTCCTACCCTCCACCGGCCCTTTCTTTTAAGCGTAAAGAAAACTTTGTGGCTTTGTTTTTTTGTTTTCATAATTGTTATTGTCTTTTCTATCTTTTATTTTGTGTCATTTTGTGATTGGAGCAACCTTCCCACCCTGGCAATTAATGTTAAGCAATGTTCTGTACTTAATAAATTTCAGACATGTTCAAGTGTTTTAATTTACATTACCTGTTAGTGTCTTTTCAATTTCTGGGACTGTGTCATTTGGTGATTGCAGTATCTTTCATCACCTGGCAATTGTTATTAACTAATGTACAATGTACCTAATAAACTCAGGACGTACTTACAAGCGTTTAAACGTGCAAAATGTTTAGCGTCTTTTCAAATCTTTTGTATTGTGCCATTTGGTGATTGAAGTATCCTTTCAACTGCAGCAATTGATGTCAACTAATGTACAACGTAGTTAATAAACTTAAGACGTACCCACAAGTGTTTAAACGTACAAAATGTCAAGTGTCTTTTCAATCTTTTGTTAATTTATGACATTTAGTCATCACAGCATCCTTCACACCCCTACAATTACTGTTAATTATTGTACAGTGTATTTAACAAACTCAAGACATACCCACAAAATTTTTTATTTCTTTTCAATCTTTAATTTCAATTTCAATTTCAATTTTCAATTTGTAATTTCTTTTCAATCTTTTGTCAATTTATTGCTTTAAGTCATCACAGTATCCTTCACACCCCGACAATTACTTTTAACTAATGTACAGTGTAATAAACTCAAGACGTACCCACAAGTGTTTAACCGTAAAAAAATTTTAATTTCTTTTAAATCTTTTGTTAATTTATGACAGTTAGTTATTACAGTATCCTTCACCCCGACAATTACTGTTAACTAATGTACCGATTGCAGGTAATAAAATCAAGACGTACCCATAAGTGTTTAAACGTACAACATCGTAAGTGTGCTTTAGTACACCCTCTACTCAAGAAACACGGTCTCCAAATCATCAATAAGAACTTTCGAACTTACGGAAACGGCAGTGGCTACCCAGATCCAATGTCAGATGGTGGATAATGACTTGTTACCCTGTTTGCAAAGTGCTTACCGCCAAAATCATAGCACTGAAACTGTTTTGATTAAGGTGAAGAACGATTTACTCATGAACATGAATAAGGGTCACCTGACACTTCTTATATTATTGGATCTGAGCGCCGCCTTCGATAACGTCGATCAAGGCATCCTGCTGCGAAGGTTGCAGTCGATGTTGGGCTTACGTGATAATGCGCTTTCCTGGTTTCATTTGTTTTAGAATGCGTTGTCCAAAAGAGTTCATGCTTAGACCCGCTGTTATTTAAGACCTATACTAGCAAGCTGTTTGAGATCCTAAGTTCCTTTCTGCGCATGCTTATGCCGATGACACGCAGTTTTGTATGTCATTCAGACCATCTGATAGCTTGAGCGAACTCGAAACCATCACTGCACTGGAGAACTGCATTTTTGATGTGCGTGCTTGATTGAGAGAGGATATGTTGTGGTAAAGTGACGAAATCATTATGTTATTATTATTATTATTATTATTATTATTATTATTATTATTATTATTATTATTATTATTATTATCATTATCATCATCATCATTATCATTATAATTATTATTATTACCGACAGACGAACAATAACTTCGCGACTTAATTGACCAATCAGGTCAATAACCAGAGTTTAATACCATCAGCTGACGTAATACAACTCACTTTGACTCTGAAGATAACTACCGCACAGGTTGTCGAAACGTCAGTCACTGTCAATAACAACAGTCCTGTTCAGGACTTCGTTCACCCTGACGATCATACTCAACCTACTTGTTGTTGTTTTTGCAATCCCAAACCACCCGTCATCGATGTAGTCACACATGTGATCGAAGGAAAAGGACTGGACCCACTTTCGACACCCGGATTAAGGGGTTTATCAAAGCAAGTGAGGTAGGACAATTATGAGAAGTACAATGGAGACATCGCTTAGTCTTTCTGGGCAGAGTGACAAGATTTTAGAGGTAACAATGGTGTCCGCCACAACCCATACCCATTTAATCCCGGTTGTTCAAGCGTCGGGTAGTGCTATCTAACGGATAAATTTCTTTCCACGGATAAATGGTAGAAGACAATAGGGCATAATGTTATATCCTATTATATGAACCTTCTAGTGAGACAATTGATATTCATCATGACTCCTATGTCCCCCTTGTGGATGCCAGATGTCTTTTGACAACAGTTTGTATCCTCAAGGAAAAGAAATTAACAAGTTCATAGAACTTATTTGCATATTCCTTACATTACAGTTTATTACCTGTAGACTAGAAGGTAGATGAAGATTACAATGTCAGTATTGATTCTCTACAGTAGTAGTATTTATTCTATAAAGCAAGTGATTTTGAAGTCCGTAATTTATAATCATGAGAATACTCTATATACTACGTCACAACTTTCACAAGCAACAAGTGACGACATACTGTTAAAATAAATCACTTAGCTTTGTTTATCCATTTCCATTATCGATGTACACGGCGGTGATATTTACATGGTTTCACGGTGTCCTTTGTTCGATTTACAGGAAATTTATAGTCAGAGTCAAATTAGTCCCCTATTTCAATTTAAAGGGTTTATACAGGGGCAAATAGATTTTCTCATTCTCCTCCAGGGTCAAACCAATCTCCCCTATTCAATTTAAAATTGTATTACAAGGTAAAATTAGTTGCCCGATTTCGATTTCCTTAGTATTTACATGGTCAACAAAGTCTCTCTCTTCTTTACTTGTTATTTACAGTATTCTGACAATGTTTAAATGACTGCCTTAAATGCTATTTACAACTGATCTTAACGTTTGAGTCTTCAATATATTCCAATATATATTCTACTTTGGCTTTACTTAACCATTCACCATCCTCGGAGACCCAAAGGCAGTCAGTCGGGCCGGGAGAAAAGGCGTGACGAAAGTTTTTTCAAGCACGGGCGGAAGAGCCCCTGGGTACCGACTCTCACAGGACCATTTCCAAACGGTCGAGCGAATGCTGGCTCCTGATTGGGCACAAAAAATGCTTTGTATTATTTTGCCCAATCGGCGAACAGTTTCTCCTGGGTTATTTTCGTGAGTTCGTACACGACCGCCATTATCTCGCCACAGTTGCCCGGTTCGTTCACCAAGCTTTCCTAACCAGACAAAGGAACTACCGATGAGTCGAAAAACGTTTCGGATGCTATCAGCAGGAGCAATTTAATTTGCACTAAGAAAATTCTTTTTCTGACGGATCACAATGTATCGCAAATAACAGGAAGTTTAAGATGCGGCGGCGCCGGACAAGAAGTCAAAAAAAGCAATAGTTTGATTGACAAGGCAAAACGACAACTTTGCACGTGCATCACGCTTTGTTGTACATTTCTTTGCCGTCACTGGAGGACTACCACGGGAAAATGCCTAGTTTTACGTTTTGTGAAGGACGTAAACAAGCAATGAGTGACAAAATAGGTGGTTTTCATGCAATTTCGGAAGACACAAATAACAATGGTGAAATGAACAAACGCTGGTGGACAAACAAAGCGAGCTAATGAGCGATCTTTTGTTTACCGTTCACCAGCATGGCAGCGACGACATAACGTGAAAACCATCTATTTTCTTTCTCTTTAGAAATTCAGCTCCAGAAGAGTTCGCTTTTATTTAACAAAGTGAGCGAGTTGGAATAATCACGATAGAGACTTAAAAAATGTGAATTCACTTTTCATGCGACGTTTTCGTGGCTTTCAGTTGTCGTGGTTTCTTGAACTCCCTAATATTTACGAAGACGTGATCGATGCAAGCGTGAATACCTGTTGTAAGCTCAAGCTTGTAATTTCGGAAAAGCGTCTTTAGTTTTCACATAGACAGTATTTGAAATGGAGAGTTTATATCAAACTGAAAGTGTCCTGACTGCGTGCATATCTTCGGTGCATGAGCCAGACAAGCTGTGATCGAGTCAATAGCCGTCTTGTACGAACTCGCAAAAAGAACTTAGGAGAAACTGTTTTGGGCACAATAATACAAAGCATTTTTTGTGCCCAATCAGAAGCCAGCATTCGCTTGACCGTTTGGAAATGGTCCTGTGAGAGTCGGTACCCAGGGGCTCTTCCGCCCGTGCTTGAGAACTTTCGTTTCCCCTGGGTCTCCGAGGATGAACCATTCACTGGCTGGGAATATACACATTCTTTTAAATAACCATGGAGCAATTAAGTTTGACTGTCAGTAATATTCTCTACATTCGTGGCAGGTGGTTCTGATCTTGCAGGTCCAACTCTCACAAACCTCAGAGGGATATTGGCGTCCTCCGAGAACCGTTTGAAACATGTGGGAAACAAAAGCTTCTTGTAGCGCTGGCGATAATTGGCGTTGCTTATTCCATAAATAAGTGGATTAACGTAGATGGTGGTGAAGAGGAGAAAAGCTGTGAAATGGTGGAGTGGAGTATCTAGTTGTGCTTTTCCCACAACCGCAAGGGTATAAAAAAATTGGTTTGGGGAGAAAGTTATGAGTAAATTACAGGCCATAATACCGACCATTTTTGTCATCTTTCCTCGTAGTTTGGCCTTGCTCTCCGCAGACGCAACTGGGGAGTTATTCGTCGTCACGATCATGTGTACGTACAGTCCAATCATGGAAAGGCAAGGAAGGAACATCTTGAAGAAGATATTGAATACAAGTTGGAATTTGCGGGAGAAAGAGCCTGACAAAACGAATCTGAATACGCAGACGTCATTGGAGGGTGAATTATTTGGTTCAAAGTTGGCATCAGCTATCCCCGTCCAGTTGAGAATAAATGACCAGATCCAACAGAACACGATGTATCCAGTAAGTCTCTTTCCCTTGAAGGCCATTTGATATTTAGACGGCTTTACAACAGCAACCCACCGCTCTATTGCTAACAACAATGTGATGTAAACGGAGAAAAACACGAGCTGAAAGATAAAAACGCGGCTCCAGAAAAAACGACAGAAGATCTCACCTAGAACTGTATTGGTTGGACGAGGATAAAGGTCACCGAGGCCAAAGCCCCGGCTTGTGAGCACGAGGATGGAGGTCAGCACATCTGCTATGGCAAGGGAAAGAATGAAAACATTGTGGGACTTTTTCAACAGCTTTTTGTCACGGACAAACACCATAATGGTCAGCGTGTTTCCAAAGATTCCAAAGATGGAAAGAATGCAGTTGGTCATCTGGAATTTGGTAAGTCCACCTTCCATTGTCTTCTTTTATCAGGGGAGAGTAGGTGAGGTTATTGTGTCTGGTGAATAGTTCATAGACGAAATGTTACTCTGAGTCATTCATTCATTCATTCATTCATTCACTCACTCACTCACTCACTCACTCACTCACTCACTCACTCACTCACTCACTCACTCACTCACTCACTCACTCACTCACTCACTCACTCACTCACTCACTCACTCACTCATTCATTCATTCATTCATTCACTTGTCATTAACCACATATGATACAACAACAACATACTAGAAATTTATAATACATTTAAGATAATATACACTATTCTAACTAAATTATTTACAAAATTAAATGTTGAAAGTGGCAATGACGAGGAAGCCTATATAGAAGCTGGGGGCTTATACAGTATAGGCTTTCTGGAACTATAGGGTACACCATGTGAGTTAAGGTTACTGAATGAAAAATGTTTTTTTTTGAAAAGTAAAGAAAAGAAAGGAAAAAGAAAATGTATGTAGCTCAACAAAGAGTATATTTGACTAAGAAAGAAGGAATTTTTTAAGTCTTTTGCCAAACAAACTGATACTTGCACTGTTTCGTTGAATTTCACGACTTAGCAAGTTGAAAAACTCAGTTTGTCAGATTGTTAGTTTTTCATAGGTGGTTATTTTACTGTCTTTTTTTGTGCATTATCAGTTTTGTCTCTATGTAAAACGCTGCTCAAGTAAACTGATAGACTACTCGCTGTTTTTAGACGCAAAAATGTATAAAATTTTAAATTGGCACATTTGCTGATCGTTGTGTAATCCACTTGCACTTTTTATAAGAGTGTCAATATATTTAGCATCAAAGTACTAATCGAGGACACAATTTTTAACGTCCCCTTTTGTGTAGAGAATTCTTTAACCATTAAAATCAAACAAAGCAGCAAACTCTATAATTTTCTTTCTTTTTTTTTTCTTTATCTTATTTTCTTCTCCATAAGGGTTACTTTGCTGTTGTTGTCGTTGTTGTCGTTTTGTTATTCAGTGTCCTTTCAGCTTGTCTTGTCATGTGGTTATAGCACAGCCTTTGATAAACTTAAGAGATGGCCAAGTGTTTTGATGCAAAAACTAGGCTAAATGTAAACCCTTTCATGTGTCAATGAGTTTATTTGCATAAAAATAGAAAGAAAACATATAACTTTAGTAACAGACTTGCACTCGCCCCTTAAAGGTTGGAGTAGTACATATGAAATTCTTAAAGTTATGCAAAAGGTTCGATCAAAATGATATCATGAATTATTGTTTATTATTATTATTATTTTTATTATTATTATTATAGTTATCTTTTTTTCTTGAATGGTAATTTCTCTCCTTGATATTTGTCAAAGACCTTTCGAACAAATGTTGCCAATTGTTGTTTATGTTTAATATCTTTTACAATAATGGTTTCTGATGCAATACATCCTTTGGACTTGCCGATAATTGGGTGACTTACAGTATTGTGCAAAAGAAATTAGAACGAACTTCGCCGAAATTTAATATCGGCGAGCAAATTGCGACCTTTCGTTTCGGGCGAAAAAGCCGGGAAATTTCGGTGCCTCTATTTTTCACAACGCAAGTCAACTGCAATGACCGTAAAATCACTTAACTAGTTAGCGGAGTCAATCAGTAGACATCGGCATCATATTAAACTAGCCTTGGAGTGAAAACAAGTCTATTTCTTTATTGGGGCTTAATATCCAGTAGGTTATGGAGACGAGAATAGTTAAAATAGTTAAAAACAAAACACCCGCCATCACTAAACGATAAATCAGATAGCGGAATCAACTGGCCTTGCTGTGAAAACTAGTGAATTCATATAGAGGAATCAACTGGCCTTGCTGTGAAAACTAGTGAATTCATATAGCGGAATCAACTGGCCTTGCTGTGAAAACTAGTGAATTCATATAGAGAAATCAACTGGCCTTACTGTGAAAACAAGTGAATTTATTATTAAGACTAATCCTTTAGGGTATGGACACGAGAATAACTTAAGTATTTTTAAAGCTACCTTCGCAATGGAAGCGAACAGAATTCTGCTTCAGCGAGTTTTGTCACAACGACCTGTTTGACGAGCTACCATTAACTTTTCTTTTAAGCGATCACAGCGAACGTAACGATCACAACAAAGGTTCTCTTTCCATTCCGTCCGTCGCTTCTATTGCCAGCAAAATTTCGTGTTGCTAAAATTCCGCTAGTGCGAATTTTCGCCAAGGCGAAACTATTTTCGGCAACAAAATCAGCTTATAGCAGAATTAGAGGTAGACTGCACAATGTGCTACTTCCAGTTTCAGAGAAGTCATTGGGGAAATGCTTTTTAACTTGTTTTGAAAAAAAAAAAAAAAACCTGTCACTTTTTATATTTTTACTCTTTAAACTAACTTTCCTTCAACTTTGAAGATCAGGGCTAAAAAAAACAAAAGCAAAAACATCTTTAGTTTTAAAAGCTTTTTAAATATCTTGTTTGCGGGAGAAATGCGATTCAGAAAACAGCGTTAAGAAAATAAACAAACTGAATCATCAGTTGAGTTACCTTTAGGTCAAAACGCACGAATAACTTCCTCACTTCCAAGACCTTTAAAAAGCGCTAGCAATGTTTGCTTGCTACCCTCTGCCGGCTCTTTCCTATTCTATTTTCAAGGGATGTGCGTTACTTCATAAATTCCAGACGTAAAGGAAAGGTTTGCTGGCTCGTGTTTATTTATTTATTTGTTATTTATTTCATTGTTAGTGTCTTTTCAATCTTTTGTATTCTGTCATTTGGTGAGTGCACTTTCCTTCGCACCACGGCAAATAACGTTAAGTGATGTACATTACTTCGTTAACTTAGGGCGTACCAGCGAATAACCCAAGAGTATATCAAGGTGTCATTTCAATATTTGGTATTGTGTCATTTGTTGAGCTCTGCATCCTACATTACTTCATAAACCTAAGCAGTACCCAACTGTTTCAACTTACAATATTTTAGTGTCATTTCAACAGTTTGTGTTGTGTCATTTGGTCCGGTGGCATCCTCTACACCCCTGTCAATTAATGTTAAGTGACGTACATTTCTTCATACACTCAAACCGCCCCCAAGTGTTTTACCGGTACAAAAGATCTTTCCGTTGACAAAGCTAGGCCAAGTGCGAAGTCTCAAATGTTTCAATGAGTTTATTTGCATGAGAATAAAGGTTTTATCACATCAGACCGTGTGCTTTCCTTAGTTTCCCAAGGTTAAAGGTGGCTCGGAAATTGACAAAGAATAAAAACGTTGTGGAACTTTTTCAACAGCTTTTTGTCACGGGCAAACACTAGAATGGTCAGCGTGTTTCCAAAATTCCAAAGATGGAAAGAATGCAGTCAGTAACAGTCTGAAATTTGGTAAGTCCGCCTTCCATTTTGTGCTTTGATCAGTGGAGTGTAGATGACGATATTGTGTCTAGTGAACAGTTGATATAAGAAATGTTACTGTAAGGCTTTGTACTGATTTTAGGTTTAGTTAGCCTGAGAAAAAAGCCAACGTTTCGAGTCCCTACCACTGGTTTCCCCTCGAAATGACGTCTGAGAAACGAGCGCAGAAATTCCATAGTGATGACGTGTCATTACCATGATCTGGGTAGTGCTGCTGATTGGTTGAAGCAAATTTCCCTTGCACAGCGTGCAAAGAAAGTCGTGTCCGATAGCCCGTTGCTAGTGGATTTTGCTATTGGGCTAGTGAATTCTGTTCTTAACTTGCCCGACGGGCAATTGAAGTTTTTTGAGGAATTCAAACTTCAAAAGAACTGTGAAATCAATTCTGTTCATCAAAATGTTTTAGGGGCTAGTTGAAATGACGTTTGGGCTAGTATATGCTACCTTCAACTTGCCCGAATGGCAAGCTTTAAAAATGACTTTCTTTGCACCCCGCTTGCAACACCACCAATGGCAGAAGTACTAGTAGATCTGCGCAGTGACGCGTCTTCAGTATGGAATTTCTGCGCTTGTTACACAGGGAAACCTCTGCTGGAAAACCAATGGCTGCGCCGCGAAATGTTGGCTGTTTTTTGTAAGAGTTAGTCAGCATGATAGTTGTTGCAACACGATAACGACACTTACATTGAAAACAGCAGGTAAAATACTTCGTGTACGTTTTAAAAGAAATATCAACGATAAGTGACGAAGCATGAAGTCGTTGAGTACTTCACGTTACTTTTTTATCGTTGATTTTTTCGTTACAAACAAAATTATATTGGAAAATTGAATCAAATAGTTAATTTTATCATGATAAAAGCAGAGGGTGGGAGCATGAAATCAAGCATGATTATGATAGAGATTCTGTCAAAAAAATACGTTTTCGAGTCACACTTTGCGTTCTCCCTTAAATGCTTTAAGTTATGAAAAAGAGTTCAACAAAACGATATTAATTTTCTAAATCCTTTTGCCTATGGAGGCGGGAATAACTGAATTTTTTTTTTTTTTTTAAGCAATTTTCGCAATGGCAGCGAACGTCTGCCTCAGCGAAATTTGTCACAACGAACTCTGCGGCCAGCTTCGATTAACTTTCTTTTGAGCGATCCTAGAAATCACAGCGAAAATAACAGTCCCAACAAAGGTTCTCTTTACATTCCGGCCGTCTTCGCTTTTAATGCCACTAAAATTTCATCAATGCGGATTTTCGCTTTGATCAAATTAATTCGCTGGGGCGAATTTTTCCTAAGGCTTAATTTCGGAAAAACGAAGTCTTGCTTCAGTGGATGCGAAATTTAGCCAAGATGGCAGCGAAATTTCGTTTGATTGAATGAAAGATCGAGTGTGGCTCAAGGAAATTTCTTGGCCCTTTTTTTTCAATTTTGTCGAATTTCGCTCTTATTTCTTACGGCAATACTGTATTTGAACAATGGGAATCAGGAGGGTTATTTCGAGTTTTGGTAAAAAATACGATGAGCCATATATATGAACTGGTTGAAACAACCGATGGCAAAATAAATTTACAGCTGAATTAGAGCCAGAC